TGTTAACTACGATCTAGTGCACGTTTAATTGGTATTTGGTACACTACTTTAAAGTAACCCGTCAAAATGTGAATTTCAATATCTCCCTTACCTTCATTATGGTTAAAGTTGCCACACATTACACAACAAATCGTGTCTATAAGCTTCTGAATCAATATTTAATTTTAATATTCAATGCCGGCTCCATATTGTATATTATTGCCACACCGCTACATGCAGGCAATTATAACCCCCGGTGAGAATGATCAGGCAGCAGTATGTACATATTAATCATGGGCTTCCTGATGGAGCGCCCAGATTGTATAGATTGGTAACATTGGTCGGTCGTACTTCATTCAGCACGTTGTATAGATTTGTAATGTTTGGTATAGTCAGTGTAATAAGCGCCAAGCGCGAGCACAGAACTTTTTTTCTCCGATTTCGATAAATTTTGTACCAAAAGTTGTCTAAAAATGTGAGTAAAATAAATCCACCGTGTAGCAATTTTCGCTAAAAATGCTACACGGCACTTGTTCGCTGCGCCTGCTTTTTTCGCGCAAATTTTTAGTTTTTTGGCCTATAACTTTCACATTTTCAATTATTATCACATAGTTATTATGGTATCGTAATCAGCTCATCGAGACGAAACTTTTAGTACTAACATTTTAAGATTTAAAGGAATTTTTTTTTCAAAAGTTTTTAATCTGAACACGAGGGTCCCCCCTTGTGTAAAATTTTGAACAAATTTTCAAAAAAACTTTGGTGCTTCAAATATTATAATTTTGGTACCAAAAGTTGCGTCTGATTAAGCTCATTACGATCCTGTAAGAATGATTTCAAAATATTCAATATTTTAGGAGTTATAGGTATTTTAAGCAATAAATTAACCATTTTCGTCCTTTGTACACTTTTGCAATGCACAGGAGGCCCACATACATCTCGACGTTATATTTATAGTTCTGTGAAACTGCATTAAAAATTGCTAGAGTATTTTTAGTATTTATGATCGATATCAGATCTCTATCACTACATGCTTGGTTAGGCCATGATTAAGTAATTTTGCTGTCAGGAGGGGGGGGGGGGGGGGGTGGTTTTGATTACGGTTGATTACGGAGGGGGAGGGGTAAAAATTGCTAAAATATTGATTACGTAATATGTGAACTACCCCTAACTCTAACCGTTTTCTTGATTAAGCCGCTCAGAAATTACACGCGAACGAACACACAAACACACATCTTGAGATTATTAGTATCAGAGTCACACTAATACTACCTTACTCGGGATTATTACGACGGGTTTATTAACGACCGGTTAAAATATGGTTCGGGAAAAATATGGCGAAATTGCTCAAAACCCACCACATTTTCCCGGTCGCCTTTTTACCGGTGTCCAACCTTTCAATTTTAGATTCAAAAATTTTGTCTCAGATGTAAATTTCCTTATTAGAGATAAGCAAGTTTAGAAATTTTCGCATTGCTAAAACTTGTGAAACAAGTCGAATTATCAATAATTGTTGAAAGTAGACAGAAATAATGACTCGTGGTTAATCAAACTAGACGGAAAATAATTTTATTCGAAAGAATGCATCGTTCACATTGTTTAGAATTATGAATAAATGACTGATGAAACTGATTCATGTTATTGACAGTTTTAATTAATTCAAGTTTTAATTTAACTGTTACTTTTACTTTGAGTCCTATTTCATTATGTAGAGATAGTCAATACCTAAGAAATTAAAAATTGGCCTATTTAAATCAACTTTGACAATAAGGATATATGACAAGAATTGGGCAAAAAGGTGAATTTTTTGTAATTTTAGCCAAATGAAGTCGAAAAACCTACAACAAGTGTCCCAATAGTCTTCTTTAGTGAATATAAGACAACGATTAAAATATGAGCACCCATACCCCTTGGGAACCCTAAAAGCTGAGTCGGCGGGTTTATTAACGACCGGTGAAAATGTGGTTCGGGAAAAATATGGCGAAATTACCCTAAACCCGCCACTTTATCCCGGTCATAATAATCCCGAGTAAGGTATATAGTAACGCTGTTACACTTACATTCGTAATATATTGCGGCATCCCGCATGAGTTCCGCATGAGTCCCGTTAATTGAGTCCGCATCCTTTCTTTGTTTTTTTCTGTTAGACTTAGTGTTCTCTACTGAGTACAGGATTGTGATAATTGTCTAATTTTCTCTAAGTCAAATTTAAACTCATTAATATTCTCTCATTGTTTTTTAATTGAAGAGAGGGCGGAGATTTCTTATCATGAATACCTGGTTTTGTTTGTTGAAATCCTACCTGAGATTCAAAACGTGACGATATACTAAGGATTATATTATTTCCGCCACGCTGATCCATACCTGATACTGATTAGATAATAAAGGTTCTGCAATCTGCAATCTGGTAGGTATGATCTGGTCTTCGGGCTTTGTTTCTTAATAAGAACATGTGAAACAGAGCTCTGGTTACCCGGTAATGAGGTTGTTGGTAAGGTAATTTCTTTTTTAGCTCGATCAAACTTGCAGGGTATTCGCTTATCATTTCATTAAATTAGCTCTCTGCCGAATCGTGTTTCATCGAATTTCCTTCCAGTCCAAATTTTAACCAGGCCAGTCAAATATATTTTCCTGTGAAATTCAATACCACAATATTTGGGCTGAATTCTGGGTCGGACTCGAAGGTTCCGTTTAGGTTATTTGTTATCTAGCAATGCTTATTGATATTTTGAGTTGCAGCATATGGAATGCTGGATTGTCTGTCTTTGAATGGGAAATTATCGATATGTCCATTTATATATTATTACGCGTTATGATTTGTCTGATACTATATAATAAACTGTTGCTTTAAATGTGACCCGAATTTTATAATTTATAAGCGCTGATTTGATATATATGCGGATTCAAGATTTTATACCAAAGATTTTAATCCTATGATTGATAAAATCAGCGCTCTGACCGTTTAATATTTGGCTCCCATAAGGCTCCCGTACTGTTTGTCTCAACTATTTCAGATATGTTTCAACCTGACTAATTACTTTATTTCTCAACTTTATTACAGAAACCACTCGGTTCCACATGACTCACCCCGCGTCTCCCATTTTGTTTCCATCTTTTTGGCCAGGCCAGAGAAACCAATTCCTGACCTTATGACGTATTTTGTTGTACTATTTTCTTTACAAAAAACCGCAAAAATTGAGGTTCTAGTTCTACTTTATCTAAATTACAGGTAAGGTATTTCTTGCTGTATTAATGTATAGCGTTGACGAAACTATTGCCTATTATCTTTAGGGGCCATCTACTTAGGACGTCCGGCATATAGGGAGGGGGATGGTTTTGGTATTTCGGACAAATCCGGACAGGGGGAGGGGGGTGGTTTCTGAAAATCTGGACGTCCGGAAATTTTGGCAAAATTAACGAAAAAGGTTCATTTATTTCAATTCTTTAAATTTTATTTACAATGAATTTGAGTAAATTTTATTTGTGCTCTTAAAAGTAGCTGGAAATCCGGACGTCCGGGGGAGGTGGTGATTTTGAAAATTCGGACACATCCGGACAGGGGGGGGGGGGGGGGGGGGGGGTGGTCTGAAAATTTGTAATTTTGCGGCGGACATCCTAAGTAGATGGCACCTTATGACTTTATGAGTTAGTGTTACAACTACAAGGAAGCCTTTTGTCTCACGTCGGTGCGTGGCAGGCCCGCGGCGTGGTGCTCCCACTAATTCGCTCGCCCAAATTACCCCTTTTTTTTACTCCTTACTCCTTACTCCTTACTCCTTACTCCTTACTCCTTACTCCTTACTCCTTACTCCTTACTCCTTACTCCTTACTCCTTACTCCTTACTCCTTACTCCTTACTCCTTACTCCTTACTCCTTACTCCTTACTCCTTACTCCTTACTCCTTACTCCTTACTCCTTACTCCTAGTCCATACTCCTTACTCCTTACTCCTTACTCCTTACTCCTTACTCCTTACTCCTAGTCCATACTCCTTACTCCTTACTCCTTACTCCTTACTCCTTACTCCTTACTATTTACTCCTTACTCCTTACTCCTTACTCCTTACTCCTTACTCCTTACTCCTTACTCCTTACTCCTTACTCCTTACTCCTTACTCCTTACTCCTTACTCCTTACTCCTTACTCCTTACTCCTTACTCCTTACTCCTTACTCCTAGTCCATACTCCTTACTCCTTACTCCTTACTCCTTACTCCTTACTCCTTACTCCTTACTTCTAGTCCTTACTCCTTACTCCTTACTTCTTACTTCTTACTCCTTACTCCTTACTCCTTACTCTGAGCTTTAATGGCAGCTTTAATGGCCCTCAAATCAGCATGAAAAAATTAAAAATTAACCAAGGAATAAAAGTTTTAGTGCCCAACCAGTGGTGTCTTAAACGCGAATTAAATAGGTAATAATAATTTTAGTCTCTTGAGTCTTGACACCACTTTGTCTTTAGGGTTAGACGGATTCCTGCTAGTACTTTTTCCTGCTGGTAATATTTAAAGCACCACGCATTTAACGTACTTTTAAAGCAAAATTAATTGCGAGCTTTTCGTTGCCTCAAATATTTCATAATTCTTTAAATTCATTTGAAGAATTTATTCCAAATAAAAATATGCGCAATATATAACTATGTAAATCTGTTCGCAGCTCATTTAAAGAGGATGATAATGATACTGGCAGCTCATTATTACGTCAAAAGTACTTCAATAAAAGCTGAGTTGTACTACTCAAATATCACTACGTCTTTACACTTACAGTATATACGTAATGTATATAATTATATACATTATACATGCATATACTAATTTACATATAATATATGTGATATATAATAGCTGTATCCCATGAGGATTCGCTTATGAAGGCAATAGGCATTGACCGTTATTAACTTATTAAGGCATTCACTCATCACTGTCAAATGTACTCAATCTCGAGCTTTCGCCATGATTTGCTGATCGTACTTGCTCTGTGCACTTCTGTGGGTTGCGGAGGGATCTGTTGTAAAATGTGGAGTGGAGAGATGTAGGGACTCCCTGCTAGAGTGTTAGATCTGCATCATGGGTCGTCCTTCTTTGGACATATTTAGATGGTAAGTAGAACTTAAAGTATGAAGAGATCACCAGCTATAATGACCATGAGGGTTGATGGTTTGTTAAACTCGAACACAATAAGATTTATACATTATCATCTCTCAAAGTCAAAATTCTGAATGACTGATAGACTATTGTCAGAAAATTGGTATATCCACACGCTCGCGGTAATTCGGCAAACAAAGCATTCCATCTGGATCTGAGCATGGCGACAAAAACTGAATTTTCAAATGTACATTGTACACGACTACCTGTTTAGTGTTTAGTCGTTTAGGTTAAATGATACTATATTATTATTCGGACATCGTTTTGTATTCTAAACCGTATATAAATGTGGTTATTCGATCCGAACACTTAGACTTAGAGAACCTGAACTTCATGCTCTCACGTATCCTAGATGACCATTTATTGTGTTTAACTGTCAAATTTTCGAACTTTCTAGATGATTTTCCGGTTTCCTTATGCCCTTCTCTACTAAGGGAATTTAGAAAAAAGGGGGGGGGGGGGGGGGGGGGGGGGGGGGTTGGTGGCAGAAACGTAAATAGGTGAATAAGAAACCGTTTACCCTTTCGTACATTGTGGGGTCTAGTTATAGTTCTAAAAGTACAGTTAATTATACGTACAATTAGTTAATAGTTGTACGTCCTGGTCATTGTCAACCTCATACTCTCATACATCTGTACAATCAATTCTTCTCCTTTTTCTTTTTACACCTGATTATACAGTAAAACTTTAATTTACCCACCTTTATTCAATAACTTTATTCAATAACTTTATTCAATAACTTTGTGTATCATACCGACCAGAAAGTGTTGAACTGTTTTGTGTTCCCCGAATATTCTGGTTATAAGCTCGTTTCTAACCAGCACCTCCCCTGCTTAAGTATCGGATCAGGATCAAAGAGAACAGTAGTAGTACTGGTTATGCTTCTGTTAGCGTGCCTCACGCTTCAAGCCCTGTTTCTTGGTTCATCTGCTCTCTGCGAAGGTAAGAAGCCGACTAAGGGCTGACTGTTAGCACGTGACTAAGGGCTGACTGTTAGCACGTGACTAAGGGCTGACTGTTAGCACGTGACTAAGGGCTGACTGTTAGCACGTGACTAAGGGCTGACTGTTAGCACGTGATTTTTGTGCGTGATTTTTTGTATTAGTTTAATTTTGACGTCGTTAAAAAGATGCCTTTGTAATTATATCACCGTTAAATCAAAATCCTTTTTAAGGGTCATTACACTCATAGTTTATTTTACTATTTCAGCAAAAAACCCTCTATTTCAGGCTGCACAGAGCTGAATTTAGGAGACGCTGAGGAAAGCGGCCCGAAATACCTCCAGTGGGAAGATGTCTTTAACTTGACGCTGTCTCCAAAGTATGCAGGCATACACTGGGCCAAGTCAGGTGAGACAACCTTCATGTCCATATAAAGGGATGGGGTTTATATATATTTTTAAGATGACTCCGTGCTTGAAATTTACGAACCAAAGGACTCATTTCGAGGCAACCTTGCAATGCAATTCAAGTTGATTTATCACGTGTTACAATAATGTTTACTTTAATTCTTTAATTGTCTCATAGAAGCAGGATTTTAATATACTTTTGTGGATTTCAGGTCACGATGCTTATGAAGCAACTGAGGATGGTTTTTGGAGTATCAATGTGAAGACTGGGGAGAAATTAAAAAAATACTTTGATATCAGAGAATTGGTAATCATTTTTAAAGATCATTTTGATATTAGATGTTTATAGTTTTATCCTCTTGTGCACAATCTAACAGAAAATACATTAATTTCTAAAAATGGTCTTTAATCAAATTCCTTTTTAAATCTCATACGTTTTACATTATTTTCGCAGCTGCAAATAAATACATTTACCGAGCTGAGCTCAATATGTTATCAGGGCGACAAGCTTGAAACTGGTTCGTAGTCCTTCAGTATAGCTCAACTGCATGTTTCATTTGTTAATAGTTTAATGTTCTAAGTAATCCTATAAGCTTCCAGCATCTATCAGTATCTTATCCACAGTTTGGAATGGACTTCGAAGTATCACCTGATGAGCAATACGCTATACTTTATCAAATAACAAAAGCAAAATATCGGCATTCTTTTTATGCTAATTACTGGCTTATAGACTTGTGAGTAGATTAATTTATAATAAAGATTACTTTTACTGTACAGTGTATATATTGTGTTCAATTTATGTTTTCTTCATCTTGCTATCAACGGTATTATTTGAAAATAAGATTTTACCATTCTAATTTTTTCCAGAAATAACGAATCTGTCAATGGGTCTCGTCCAAACGTAACTGTTGATCCGACCGGAACCAACAATGTCCAATATTGTGGTTTTACTAAAACTGGTCACACTGTGGTAGGTTGAAAACAGAACTGACTTTAAGTTAAACCTTAAGTTAAACGGACCTTTGGCGATCAGCAATGACTTTTAACCTACATTTTCCAACCATTCGATCCTAAATTGCTTGCCAGTCTTGGTGATTCATGATCAGAATCAACTCAGGTGATAGTAGCAGAGTTTGATGTGTACTCCAAGACAGATCCCATGGCAACTGGGGATGGGGCGTACACTAGACATACATCTGATGGGGAGGATAACGTTATCTTTAACGGAGTCCCCGACTGGGTCTACGAAGGTAAGTTAGGTTCCCTAAGGTTCCCTAATCAGGTTCCTAAGGTTCGCACTTCACACAGTGGATGCTAAATTGATCTGTCAAGTGACCCCAACAAATTGAAAGTGACACCAGAATCTGTGAACGTAGATTGCTTCGTTATCACGGGAAACAAATATAAGAATAAAACTTACCTATAACTTAACAACACACTTTCTTTCAGAGGAGGTTGTAGCGAGTTATTACAGTAATTATCCGTCACCCGACAGTCGGTTTATAGCCTTCAGTAAAACTAACGCTAAAGGAGTTCAACACGTACGCTTCCCTATCTACGGAAAAGAGGACTACGCAACTATATTAGACTATGAGTATCCCAAGGTAATTTTACTATCGTGATAGGATTATTGATAGCGCGAGAAATCGAACTGGAATACTTCACGACCTCACACAAATAACTGGTGAGGAGAAGACATTGCACATCTGATCCCCCTCTACCCAGGCTGGATACAAGAACCCTACCATCCAGACCTACATGGCAGATCTACAGGACCCTGAGGGTGATATGGAGGCGTATCTGATACCCACCCCACAAGAGGTTCTGGATTGGGGAGAGCACTACCTTTATACTGTTTCTTGGGCTAACGAGTTAGTTGCCGTTTAAATTATTTTTTAAGCGTTTGTGAAATTTTTGAATCCTACTTTCGTATGACACATTAGTGGTAATTAACTCGATTGGGGCTTGAAGAAAAGTCAATAAAGAATTAACTTCTTAACATAAAATATGATGAATAACAATGACTAATTAATAATAAGGATACCAGAAGTGTGTTAAAACAAAACACATCCACAGGAATACAGTCGTGTGTGAGTGGTGGAACAGACTACAAACAAAGATCTCATTTTATCAGGTACATAGATATCATTCAACTTGATGCCTTTTATCTGCATTCTTTCGATTCCAAGGTTTTCTTTTTGAACTTTGGATAACATTCCTTAACCGATTTATTTCAGTGTAATGCAGCAAGGGCAGATACCAGCTGTACGAAAATATTCGGCGAGGACAGCCACGAGGAAGGATGGCTTGATTGGTGGAAAACTCCTCATTGGTAAGGGAACCTTTTTTGAGGATTTTATAAGAAGCCTTTGATCTGGTTTTGATCATCATAAGCTTTTTTCTTATATACCTTTTTGTAAGATGTTAGAAATTTCGTCACCAAATGCAAACAATGTGAAAAAGACAACCAGTGAACAATTTCTTTGAATAAAGGCATCTAGTCTTCTTGGCTATAGCTGTACACTTATGCTCTGATCTTATAGATATGCTGGTAGTGGTATCTGAGATAATCATTCTTCAGAACGAATTATACAAACCATATATCTGCATCTCCTGACAGGTACTTTGATGGGTTAAACAGTTTCGCAACCCTCCTACCAAGCAACCAAGGAATAGAGGGCAACTTCAAACATGTTTGTCTCTTCACGAAGGAAGAAGATGGTACTTGGTCCAGAAAGTTCCTAACCTCTGGGTTATTTGATGTGCTGAGCGTGTACGGTACGATAAACACCGCAGAGAAGAAATATTTGTAAGTTAGATTGTTTATACGTTTAGTGTTGTCTGATGATTCCGAAAATACGACCAAGGGAAACTGCTCTTTTTAGGTTAATATTGTTCCTTTTTTTCAAGAGTCATGTATGATCAAGTCATAATAAATATGATTATCAACTCAATTTATGAAGTGTAAAATCACAAGTTTGTATGGTTATAACTTAGTCACTGCCTAAAACTAATCTTAAAAACAGTGAATAATTTCTAACCATAAAACAGGTTCTACTATGCAAGTTATGGGGGACAGATGTACAGACACGTCTTCCAGCTGAACATTGTAACTGCTGAGGTTAGTGATAATGTATAATGTATATTATAATGTATAATGTGTATTATTGGTGGTTTGTACTCATCAAATTGACTGGCAATTGTGGTGGTAAATATTGAACTGCCACTGGTTTTTCTAATCGGCGAGAAGAAAACAATTTGATTTGTAGCAAGACTCCTATCCTCAGAGCACGTGTCTGTCATGTGACGGGTATTGTGGGTATGGGGGAGCCTCCTTCAGTGCTGACATGACCATGTACCGTCTCTCCTGTGCCGGCCCTGTTACCCCTTACGTTCAGCTCAAGGAGGTCGACTCCCCGTGGATAAATGTGAGTTGTTTTTATTTTATTCAGTCGTTTGTTACCTTGGCTTAGGCTTTGAATGAAAAATTAATATGAATATGTATCGGACGTAAATGTATATTGAATGAAAGAAATAGGATGCTTAGAGGAACTAGAATGGCTTATAATTATTTTATCAGGTCCATAACTATAAAAAAACGTTCTTTTCTAGGTCTTGGAATCCAATTACGATGTAGAAATGATGCTGCGAACCTTCAGCCTGCCCAAGAGGGAATATATGACAGAACGCATTGGAGGATTTGACATTAACGTTCAGAGAATCTCTCCCCCAGACTTTGATGAAAACAGCACTAAACGATACCCAGTATTGGTTTATGTTTATGGTATGTCTGCCAGTTAATTACCGGGCGTCTAAAAGGTTCGGCTGAGGAAGTAAGAATATCAATGTTTCTGAGCAGTGGGATGATATAGATTAAAGCTAAAAATATCATATGACAGGGGGTCCAGATTCGGGGAATGTCAGAGACTACTTCCCGTACGGAGACCAAAGGAAAGACTTCCACAACTATTTAGCTAACGGTGATCCTGACAAGCCGAGTTTCCTTGTTTACCACGTGGATGTACGAGGTACTATAGGCCGAGGGGACGACTTCAGGTTCCCACTCTACAGGTGATACATGAACTGCTGTATTTTACCATGATTAGGGTCTTCCGAATATGGATCAGCAGAATAAATCCCGATTAATTATATTACAGTATGTTGATAATTTCATAAAACTTTATTTGAAGTTGGTTAGATTAGATTCTGACTTCATTGAGAAATACATGTTATTTAGGAAGTAATATCACCACCAGATTCTGATCAATGTGATTAACAATTAATTATATAACATTTGATCTTGTGTGGATTTTTTAATAGCCAATATAATTATGTAATATTGTGAGTAAACATTGTCTGGTTCTACCGGCCAACCAATCCGGAACCCCTAACCTAAAGTTTCCTCCCAGAAAGTTCGGAGTGACGGAAGTGGAAGACACACTAGACTTCCTGGAGAGGATCAGTCAGTACCATTACGTGGACGATGCCAGGATGGCTATCTGGGGCTGGTCTTACGGAGGTAGGTACTGTCGCGACTCTGAGATCGGGTAACCTTCTAAAGTATTGTAGCAGTTCTGTTAAGCAATTAACTAAACTATTGCCATTACGATATCTAATCGATTTAGGAAGTCTTTATTTTCATCCTGCATTACATTTGGCATTAAATCCGGCTAATATAAATTTGCTAATATAGCTGTTTCGTGAGATTATTAGAGTTCAGAAATTCTTCTCACGTTTGGCGCATAGTTAAATGATTTTACGTCAAATGCAACTCGGAGCCATTTGCAAAATGGATCTCATAACTAATAGTCACCTTATTGATTACAAATCTGAATCATATTCGGCCTTTGCTAAAGCAGAGCAAAACGATTCCTGCAATGCTACAGACTTACAAGCATTAGTAGCAAGTTATTAAGATGAAGCTACAAAATCACATCTGTCACATGAAAATCTCCTGTTTTTCAGGTTTTCTGTCCTCTAAGGTGGCAGGAAGTGGGAGGAAGGTAGTGCAGGCTGCTATAGCTGTTGCTCCGGTTTCTAGTTTCAGGTTCTATGATACTATCTACACTGAGAGATACATGGGTCTTCCTGCAACCAACAAGGTATGTGGTCTGGTCTGTAACTGGTGATGGTGTCTGAACAATGCCCACTGGATATCTTGCAATTACATTAAGCCTCTTTATCTAAAATCAATGTAAACTATTACCAAATAGCTCTAAACTGCGACCTACCAAGGTTAGTTAGATAATACCAAATAGCTCTAAACTGCGACCTAGCTACTAAGGACCCGCTTATAACTGAACCTCTCAAGGTGTACGATGAGGGTGACTGTCTACACGAGGCAGCTAACTTCACGGGTACCAACTATCTCCTGATACACGGTACCGCCGATGACAACGTGCATTACACCAACGCGGCTCGTCTTGCTTTCGAGCTAGTAGAGAACGATATTCAGTTCAGGATGCATGCTTACACTGGTTAGTTTATTAATTTATCATTTTAAAACTACTTTAGTTCAAGTGCATAAGTACTTAGCCGTGATTATGGGTACAACTTCTCATTTTTCTGAACTTGAAGGTTAACGTCATCCTCTTATTTTTACCCAATTACACGGTACTGGAAGTTGGATTTACAAGGATTCTGTAATAAATGACATAACCCTCCCGTTAAATTACTTGATCGCCACCACGTTACCCTCCTTCTCGGTAACTTGATGGCCACTTTCAGTCCCAGAAATTATCAAGCCCATCAGCAATAATTGCGAATTTGCAGTTGCAATCCAGGATTATAAGCCGGACTGCTTAAAGAGTTAAAGTCAAGGTTGTTAAATACGTATTAGGAGGGAATACGTATTGGAATACGAATACGTATTAATCCTCGAAAATTGACGTATTACGAAAAGGTGTGTCGTGCGCGCAAAAAATTGTTTGCTTATCGGATTATCCATGAAATTTGATTACAAATTTAAGTTATCATGTATAACTGCACTCCTTTAATGCATGATCAATGATGAGGGTAGCGCGCAGCTGTAATGTTTAATTTTGACAAATCAGCGTATTACGGCGTATTATGGCGTATTCGTGGACGTATTTAACAATCCATAGAAATTACCGTATTACGGCGTATTACGACGTATTCTTTATTAGAACCGAATACGTCGTATTCTTTCACGAAAATTTGACGTATTTAACAACCTTGGTTAAAGTGCAACGTATGTTGGTGGTAGCAGCTAGATTATCGCTCAAAAATTGTACGCTTTGATGCCCCGCCACAATTAACATAAGTTGAATTAATCGCCTGCAAGGAAGGATGTTCGTGAAACTATGCGCATTGCGCACGAACACATGATCGTCAGTCGTTGGAAATATGATTTGCCACTAAATCAGCAATTTGTTCTGAAGCTAGTGCAGCTTGAAGCTTGACTCAAAGTGCAGAAGCTTCAATCTGCAACCTTGCCCAGCTTGTTGATTAGCAGCATAGTGGACAAATTTCAGCACTCTTACTTTAACCATTACTTTGTTCTATAAAGTCTTGTGAAACCGAGCTCAATCAGTGTACCGATTCATAAATCATAACGATACTGGAAACTTCTGGGGTTTACATGTTATCGTTCTGTATCATTAATTATAGGAAAATGAAGAACTTATAGTCTTCCGTAACGGCTACGATCACCTTCGGATTGCATTCACCATGTCGAGTCAGAAAACGGAAAACTTGCAGGATACCACCTAGTTCACAATGGCATACAATACAATACCTTAACCATTATAGATAAGTTTGTTACAATAGGCTAAATTACAAGGATAATATGTGCATACTTTCAGACCGAGCGCATTCCCTGAAGGGGCTGCACACCCGACGTCATATGTACACAATGATGAGGGATTGGCTGTTCGACGTTCTCAACATGAAGGATGACTATTTGGGTACCTACAAAACGGACTTTTAGGAATCTTTATAAATTACTAATCTAATTCACCTGAAAAACTCAAACTTTAATAAATTTAATTAGTTTAATTAATGAGTTTCATGATTTGATAGGTTTAATAATGTTGATATCCTACACTTTTAACAAATTTTGTACTACGAACTGGGGAATAACGATTAATTGCTAATATAATAATATATTGGTTTGAAGTTTGCTGAAAGTAAGTCTTTTTTAATCTTACCGTATGCTTCAAAAACCAAATTGTCAGAAGATTTAGTATTTTCGGTTGGCGATAAGAGCCGCGATATTATTCTTTAAACAGGTCATATCGCTCATTTGACTCTGGGACTTTAAAAACATTTATACATATAATAAGTTGGTTGACTAATGTAAATGACTATTCCTAAATGTAATTTTGTACCGTTTATTATCTTGGCTAGCTGTTTTACTTGTTTCATCGAACAACAATAATTATAAACGTTTCTATCATTTAACCATACCACTTGCTTGTTCATCAGATTCAGAACGGATAAACATTACAGTTGGTCGCGGTTTCTCGAATCAAAGTATATCAACCTAGAGCTATTTGAGTATTTGGTGAATTGGAGGTGCTTATATTGATCAGTATTTGGAGAATTGGAGGTGCTTATATTTCCATTTTCTTGGCGAAACATGGAGGGTGTTAACTAACTAACTTGGTAACTTGGTAAGGTTTATCCTCGTAGCAGGAAGGGTCATCAGATGTCTGACCACCGTGATGGCGTGTAGTCTACCAAGGAATTCGACCAGCTGCACGTATAACCGGAAACCGGAGGGTTATCCGGTATCAAAGCAAGAAACTTAGACAAACTGACTTTGAAGCTGGCAAACGTTTTCTCGGCTTTCACTTCACTCGGCACCTTATTCCACAGTTTGGATCCTTTTACTGCGAACGAGCTATCATACAGTGTCTGGTTTCTCATCGAACTCGACTTTGATAGAGAAGGAACAACTGCTTTAGTGCCATATCTGGATGTTTCCACAAACTCGATGCTACAGCTATTTGGAACAACGTTATGGTACGTTTTCCACATCACCAAGATGATGTATCTCTCCCTTCTCCGTTGCAGGGACATTAACTTCAATTGAGCTAGCCTCTCCCAGTAGTTTAAGCTGTATAGACCACCAATGCGGCTTGTAAAGGTACGCTGGACCCCCTCCAAAAGCTGAATCTCTGTCGTCTTGACTGGGTCCCACAGCGGACAACAGTACTCCAATAAAATTCTGACTAGAGACTTGTAGAGGGTCATCATAACCACTTTATCCCGTGTCTTAAACACACTGAACACCCAAGACAGTTTACTTCTAGCTTTCGTGACCATATCCCCGACGTGTTTAGACCAGCTCAGATCGCTTGACACTTTTACACCAAGGTCTCTAACGTTTTCTACGGGATAAAGAGTGACGTCACTAGAAACCTTGTAGAGGAGACTTTCTACGTAAAAGGGAAGTTCACTTGATAAGTTCCTTTTATTGTGTAGGTGGTTTAGGAGTTCGAACTTCTGCTCGTGTAACTTCATGTTGTTACATAGGGACCAATCTATAATGCTGTAAAGATCAGTCTGAAGAAGTTGGCAGTCTTCAAGGCAGCTAATTTGCTTGGAAACCCTAGTATCGTCTGCAAAGAAGCTCACTCTAGAATGCTTAACCACGTCCTCTAGGTCGTTGATGAACAACAGGAAGAACAGTGGACCTAAAACACTGCCCTGAGGCACCCCGCTTAACACCTTAGCGCTGTCTGAATGCACACCGTTCACGACAACAACTTGGTCACGACCAGTTAAGAAGGATTGAATCCATCTTAAGAGCTTCTCCTGGAATCCATATCTTTTCAGCTTAAGAAGAAGTAGATCCAAGTCGACTTTGTCAAAAGCTTTCGCAAAGTCGAGGTAGATTGAATCGGTGTCATTTCCTTTCGTGAAACCTTCGTAAATGTCGTCAAAGTGCTCCAACATTTGGGTGAGACAGCTTCTATTTGACCTGAATCCGTGCTGTTTGTCCGATAACAGATCATTAGAATCAAGGTACTGGGTCATGTGCTTTCTGACGACCCTTTCATACACCTTCACTACGTGAGAAGTCAGCGTCACAGGTCTATAGTTTACAGCTTCACATCTGCTACCTTTCTTGAAGAGAGGAGTGACATATCCGGTCTTGTAGTAGCTTGGGACGATGCCAGACGACATCGATTCTGTCCAGATGAGATAGATAGGGACCGCTAAGCTAGAGGTACATCTTTTCAGCAGGATGGAGGGGATGCCATCGGGTCCCGGTGCAGAGTCAAGCTTTAGTTCCGATATAGCGTCCTTTACGTGGTCGAGAGTGAGGACAGGTTCTTTATCTCGACAAGTAATGGGCGGCACCGCAAATTCAGGCATGGATTTGTAGGGGCAGTTAGGGTCACTATAGACTGAGCAAAACTGAGTCTGGAGGATGTTCGCAAGATCCTTTTTCTCTGTGACAAGCTTATTTTCACTATTAAGAAGAGTTGTGATGTTTTGCTTCACTTTGGAGAACGATTTCGCGTAGGAATAAAAGTATTTCGGATTAGCTTTTATCTTATTCACCGCTCTCCTTTCGCCCTCATCAAAATGGTGTACTATAGCTTCCTTAATCTCAAAGCTGATTAATCCGATTTCGTCTTCAAGCTGTTTCATTCGAGCATGGTCGCCGCTGCACTCTGCCGCTGAAAGACGATTCTTGAGTCTGGACTTCTTCCTTCTCAGCGAGTTGTAGACATTCGGTTTTCCTTTAGGAGGTCGTTTCCTTGGGACATTTTCAAGACAAACGTTTAGCACTTTACGTGTAAAATTTATCGGAAATTCTTCAAAGGTAGTGGAACCTCGAACCTGTTTCCAGTCCACACTACTGAGAGCTTCGTTAAGTTCCTCGAAATCAGTATGGTTAAAATCTAGAGCCCGAAAGTTCATTTCGTCCAGATACGTGAGCTTAGCTTCCTCGAGTAATGCAGGGTTAAAAGAGAGGAGAGCATTAACCATGTTGTGATCGGACATTTCTGTAGCTTCACAGCTTACATCGCACACCAGCCGATCGTTGTTGCACATTATCAGATCCAGCACATTGCTCCCTCTGGTCGGGGTTGTAACCATCTGGCTGAGCAGGTGAGTGGACATAAACCGTATTAAACACTGAGCGGAGAGGTTGGAGTCTGATGTCCCCCCACTTCGGATTTGGAGCGTTTCCCAATCCACCTGTGGTAAGTTAAAGTCCCCTGTTACGAAGAGGTCGTAGTCGCTCGGAGCGCAGTTCTCAATAACATGAGTAAAGCTGTCCAATAGTTTTGAGAAACTGGCGGCCGTTGCATCAGGAGGTCTGTACGCCACTGCAACACAGAGTTTAGCAGAGGGGTAGAGATTGATGATTCCCTGACAAACACTATCATCAAAACTCTCTGATAGGGAGACTGGGATAGAAGATAGAGAGTACAGCATTACTCCCCCACCACTCCTTTTACTGCGATCACACCGAGATAGAGAGTATCCTGGAACCTCTAACTGAGCATCATGGTGGTATGATTTCAGCCAGGATTCTGTGATGGCGATAAAAGGAAACAGGTGTCCGTCCTGTCGCTTCTCGTCTAAGTGACCTATAAGGTCCTGCAGCTTCCACCTCCCGGCACTCTTAGCGGAGGGGTTTAAGCTCCTAGCGTTTAGAAGTAGGAGGGAAGAGAGAAGGGAGTCTGGTGCTGGGGTAGCCTGGGAACACCTAAACTCATCATCGCAGGAGCTGCTTGGGATGGGTAGAACATTTGTCCCGCTGGTTGTGCTGGAGGGTGGCACACTGAGGACGGGGCACTTTGATCCATTTTCTTTTCTAGAGCTGCTAACTTGGCCGCCATCCCCGTGACCAAGTCTCGTAGCTCTAAAAAACCACTCGAACTAGAAGAAGAGTTAGACTTATAGTTAGAGGTTGTCTGCATACCGGATCTCTGATTCCTGTCCCGAGTGGGTTCTTCCTTTTTCTTCTTTCTACAAGAAAGGGGGTGAAACTTGGAACATTCTTTGTTGAGACACGATCCTCTTTCGAGTGCTACCTTGCAAATATCAGGGTGAAAAAATGCACAGTTTTTACCCTTTATACATCCCTTCTTACCAGTAAACCCAGACACTCTATACTGATTACAAACTCGGGGATGTTTGAGGGGACAACAATTTCCATTCACTGCCTTCTTTCCGCTAATTCCGTGCGGACAGTTCCAGCTCAAGAACTTCTGGCAGATTCTTTCAGTTCCTTGATTTGAATTCTCTTCAGAGAAAGACACGAATTGCTGTTGGGGGTTGTGGGTAGAGGACATCCCATCTCCAGAGGGGGTGATGATATTAGAAAAATCTCCTCCAATAGAATTGCTGGACAGAGCTCCACTCCTATTATTATCTGAAGCAGATGTATGTCGTGATCTTGTCTTTCTGGACTCGATCGGATCAACAGCACTGTAACATGTGTCACATAGCCACACAAAGCCGGAAGGAGTGTTCATCGCTGATATGGTCTGATGAAGTAGCGTGTTCCGTTCACAGCTGTGCGAGCCTTTAAAACACCGAAAACATGTGAAACATGGTGCATCATCTGGCTCGTGGTCGATCACATAGTCCTCACTACATTCCGCACATTTAGAGGGCATCAAAGCTTGGAAACCACAATAAAGACGATCCATAAGCGTTTTCTTCGTAAATATCTTGAAATTGTCCTTGTCAGCGAGAGAAATTCTTAAGAATTCCGCACAATTTTCAAGTATTGGGAGAGAAAACCGATCAAAACGCTTAGTGTTAGCTGCACACGACTGAGAATTATCAAAAGCAGAAATAACCGGTCTAACGTGCATTTCAGCTTTATCAATAAGCTTCCCGATGATAATCTTAACTTTTTCACTGCCATCATTCTCAGAACTCGTAACCATGGTGTAATGTATATACAAGACAATATGTATACACACAATTTTAACAAATTGAATCTTTTTTGATCCCTCCAATTTAGCAGGAAGGTAGCGTCTTGTAGTTTCATGGTGATGAGAAACATGTTTGTAGGTTTACAACCTACCAGGACGCGCGCCGAGTTGGACTCGTCGACGGTCCTGGAACAAATATTTGGAACAAATATTTTACGAGTATCACCCGTTAAGAAACATGTCAGTTCCGGCGAGACAGGTGACAACCATGATGACCGTGATTGTTTTATTGACTACGAGAATATATCACTTGTGCTCCACAGATCATGGTATCGTTGTGTTAATCGCAGTCCGGGCTTGTTTTATTAAATACTTTTCAAATTTTACAGAGTACATCAATAAATTAATATAAAATAGAATCGTTCAAAATATTGCCCCTATCTATAAAATAAGATGGGCACCCAAACACGGTAAACGCATGGTGAACTAT